GTAGGAGAGAGGCATTTAAGGCCTCTAGGGCTGGTTCCAGCATCAGCCCGGGCAAGGGTGATGTGAATGAAAAGCCTCGCTCAATCACTTAGCAAGGAGGAGTCTCAAACGTTACCTGTGCGGAGGGGCTTCAGCACACAAATCCTTGGAAAGCCAACAAGGAGGATGTAGAAGTCTAAATACCACGTCTGAAACCTCTTGTTCTGGGCTACGGAGGTCAGCTGCCGTCAGAGGAGGGTCTTCTCTGGGTGCGTTGCTCTCAGAGGGATCAGAGCAATCTTTAACATTTACTGCACGCGAGTCTTTCAAGAAGACATTGGCAGTTCCCTTGTCCTCACCACGCTGCATCTTCCCTCTGTGGCTGTGCTGCACGAACGGCCTGCCTGCTCGTTGTCCAGGGCACGGACAACACTCTAGAGTATCCGGGAGAGGGGAGAGGTTCTAGAGTCCGTGTCCCGGGGGACAGCCTGCCCCAGGGCAGGACGGAGTGCTTCCCAGCAGATATTCGGCTGAGATGGGATATCTCAGCCACTGTTTGATCCCTGCTGTCAGCCACCTGCACTGCAGACGGGGGGGTCACTTGCAAACCCCATCTTTGCTGAGCGAGCTGGTGTGCGCACCATCCCTGCCCCGTGCTGGCACTGCTAACCCCACGCGCGGGTTCCTGCCGTCCCCGCTGAGGACGCGGTGGCTGGGTTGGTTCTGCTGACTGCAGAGACCGCCTGGCGCGATGGTGACGAGGCTGCCAGGAGCCGCCGTTCTCCTCTGCCTGGTAGATGTTCTCCACGCTTTTGCGATTGAAGAGAAAGGAGATGTGTTCAAGAGGATGGCTTGTCCTGCTTTCCTGATGTTCGACAACGCCGCTTACTTGGCTGACATGACCTTTGAGCTTCCCTGCAATTGCAAACCCGAAGAGGTCTCTTCTGTCGTCTGGTACTTCCAGAAGAACATGGGCAGCCACAAAACCACAGTCCTGACGGACTTTGCCGGCACTGTGGTTGTCGACTCGGGCCATATCCACGCGGGCAGCGATGTGCTGAAGCGTTTCAGTATCCGGATGTTCAGTCTCATCGTTTTCCGAGCCCAGGTGACGGACTCGGGACACTACCTGTGTGGCACTAAGAAAGGGGACTTCTTTTATGGCTATGATGTGGATGTGCAGCCCACGAAGCACATCACAGTGGCTTTTGTGGACAGAGGCCAGCACGTCCAGGATGACTACACGAAGAAGGTCTTCAGCCTCTTCACCACCTTCTGGGACTGGACCAGATGTGACCGCTGCGGGGTGAGAGGCGAGCAGCGGCGGATCGGGCTCTGCTATGTGCAGAGTGCCCAGCTGCACCCTCGCTATCGTGCTGCCGTGCCCAACGTCACGTCCTGCGGCTCAAGGGCTGTCCCCGCGCGTTTCCAGCGCGCCGGCCGCCTCCGGAGACCCGAGGTGGCCATCCGGAGCTGCCTGACCCCTTGCCTGAAGGAGGAGGTCCCTGAGGAAGGCGTGCAGGCCATCTCCAATGTCATTTCCAAGGTGGGCGAGAAGCCCTGGTTGCCCCACGTCCCCACGCAGTTTCACAAGCAGCCCATTGGAATTGACCTGATCATCGCGTGCCCAGGAGCCCGGCCTGAGCATGCCGTCGCCTGGGACAAGGAGTCCGTCCGGCTCTACCGCTCCCGCTACCTCATAGGTGTCAACAAGAGCATGCGGGTCTTCATCGACCACGGAAACCACCTGCACATCCAGCGGGTCCGGGTCAGCGACAGAGGCACCTACTTCTGCTGGCGGGAGGGCAAGATGGTGTCCGGCTTCCGTCTCAGCGTGATGTACCGGCGTCGGCGCAGGCGGACGCTCAATGATCCCGAGACGATCTATGCCGTCAAGGTCATCGGCGCGAGCTACGTGCTCATCAGCATCATCTTCATCATCATCCATGTGTGCCGCTGCTGCTGGCGGGTGTTCAGGTGCCCTGGTAGGACATAGCATCTCCACCACGGTCCCGACAGGTCACTCTTACACCTTGGATCATTCTTGTTAGAAATCTCTAATATTCTGACCGTTAGAAATCAATGTGACCAAATTCTGCCAGCACCTGCTCGTCCTCCCTTTTGGGTCGAGAGCACGACGGCGAGGGCTGATGCAGAAAACTCCCCGAGCTGCAGATTGGTACGGCTTGGTAGGGACAGGCGGGCATTGCACACCCTCACGACTTGTTCCTGGCTCTGCCGCTGGCTTGCGGCGGGGTTTTAAGCTCAATACAGTCCTTTTCAAAAGAATGCTTGGAGTTGTTGCAAGATTTTCTGGCCAAGCTCTACAGACTTCTTGAACTGCATGAGTGATTTATTAGAGCTGGTTTTCTAAGAGGCTGCTAAAAAGATCCACCAAACTATTTAAATCCAATTAATTCTTGCTTTTCTTACCCTTTTTTTTTTTTTAAACTGTTTTTCATTGATGAGAACTTTGAGTGCCAACATTTCAAAATGTTCAATGTTCCTTTGAGCTCCTTAGCTGGAGCAAACCCCTTTTTTTTAAATCTTTCCTTTTTGAAGGGGAAAAAGACATTTCCAAATGAATCTGGTGGAGTTCTTCAGAAATCTCTCTGGTGTTTTGTTTTTTTTTTAACTTGCCTGTCTCAGCACAGACTTGTGAGTCGATATTTATGCCCGACAAAAGATGTCCTGCACAGAGGATGGCATCTCTGCAGGGTTTAGGTGGCAACTCGTTTGCTCCTCAGCGTAGAGCAGGACTTCCCCGCGGAGCTCATCTCCACTCCTTGTTTCAAGGACATGGCTTGGTGATTTCAGGTTTCCCAAGAGAAATACCACTGTCTGGGAGGCCGGGCAGCCTGGAGGGTCCCAGCGATGCTCGGGCACTTGCGCCACACAGATGATGTGCAGGATCTCAACTCCACCATCAGTCCCGACAGCTGCAGCCGATCCCAGGAGCTTCCCAGGAGCCGCAGCCTGGGTTCGTGCGGGGAAGGAGCTGGGTTTGGGGCTGAAGACCCCCGAGCAGATCCCTTCTTCCCCTCCCTCCTGGGAAGGGGATCTCTCCCACCCTGCTGCCTGCTTGCCAGCTCCAGGAGGGTTGTGCCTGCACCCGCCTCCCCTCTGGTGCAATCCCTTACGGGTGCTGACCCATGAAGCGTTGGCCATGCCTTGGGGTACAGCATCCCCCAGAAACTGAGCCCAGTTTGGCCTCCAGAAGGGCCTCACCACCCCAGCTAATCCCAAATAACCCACGGCGCTGGCTGCGGAGAGGTGGATTGCAGGCACGACCGTGGAAGCACAGCGCTTGCGTTAGCTTTATTTCTCATCTCAAGCTGCCGCGGGCGTTAGTGCATTAATTCAGTAGCGACGTGGGCTGCAAAGCTCCAGGCAGAGGCTGCTCGCGGGGGACCGAGCCCCCCGGGCCGCCGCCATCCCACCCCAGATGCCAAACCTGGGCAGCACCCGGGTCTCCTGTCACATCTCCTGCCCCAGGAACGGCCTTTCTGGAGTTGGTAGCTGCAAAGCAGGCTCAGCGCCTGAGCCAGGGGATGAGGGGGACAGAGGGGACAGAGGGGGATGGCATCCAAGTGGCATCCCGTGTGCTCATCCCAAAGGACTTATGGGGTATGAGAAGCGCTGCTGGGTTGTTGCTCCGATGTTAGGTGGCATCAGGGCAGGTTTCGCTCATGGTCAGTAGCTAAATCAAAGGTGGGGACAGGGGCTGCGGGCAAGCACCGGGCTGGGTGATGGCCCCGGCTGGGCTGGTGGCATGTGCTGGTCCGGCGGGAGGACGGATGGGGGGACAGGGCCACGTGGAGCCCAGGGACAAGGGATTTCCCCATCTTGAATGCCCACGCGGGGGGTGGGCCTGGGCTCCATGTGTGGCAGGGACTGCGACAGGGCAGCCCCCGGTCCCCGGCCCCCCTGGCTCCTAGTGTGAGCCCAGGTGGGACAGGCGGGATGAGGATGGCTCCGTCTGTCCTCCCCCGTCATTCCTGGGTTGCGGGAGGCACCTCCTGCCCTGAGAGCACCCATGAGTGCCCCGACACCCTCCTCCTCTGCACTCCCCTCCTCTCCATTTTCACCTGCGTGGGACCCCCCCAGGCGAGGGGCCAGGCCCACGGCCGTGGGTCACCCCTCGCCACGAGCCCCTTAGGACCGTTTTTCCCCACCACGGTGATGGGGACACCCTGGTGGCGGACACCCAGTGGGGGTCAGGACAGCCCCATGGCACTGTGCCAGCAGAAGCCCATGAGGCCACCCAGCCTGCCGTGCCCACCACTGCTGCCACCCCACAAACCACCTGGGACACCCCAGCGTCCCCAGAACCCCTCGTTATCCCCATTTCATCACCCTTTTACACCATCCCGACAGCACCCTGCCTCTCCATCCTCCCCTTCCTCCTGCCTGTGCCTCTTGGCTAAGCCCACCTGATGCTTGGTGACGGGGAAATGTCCCTCACCAGCTGGTACCTTGTCCCCTGCAGCCCCCCCCAAGATGCTCGGGGCCTGAGTGCACCAGGGAGATTTGGGGTGGCCTCCCCGACCAAGGAGAGGGCAGCAAGGTGGGATGCAGGCAGAGATGCTCCTGGCACCGCCATCTTGTACGACCAGTGCACGGAGATTGAAACAGGACGGACTCTCTCCCTGGGCACTGGCGAGCTGGAGACCCAGGGCGAGCGCAAGCACGGCCCCAAAACCACCGGTCCCTCCGTGCTGTGGGAACGCGGCAGCATCCTGGCCGGGGCAATCGGCTCTGCCCGGTACCACTCGCCTCCCCCGGGCATTGGCCGTCAGATGGGTGCTTTGCCAGCAGCCAGCCTCGAACAGGGTGTCAGCGGTCCCGGGAGCATGGGGCGGTGTCGAAGAGGCGAAGGGCGGGCGGGAGGGAGATGCCCCCTGCCAAAGCACCCCCGACTCCTCCCGTGCCCCGTGCCTGGCCATGGGGCTCCCGCGCAGCATCAGACGAGACCTACGGAGCTACGGCTACAAGCATGCAGCTGCTGCAGCTCGCCCGCCCTACGCCACCTCCTTGTGCTCCTGCTTGGACTCCTTGATCACCTGGAGGCAGAGGGAGAGGGGCCATCACCCCGGGCGCGGGCTCTCCTCCCCGGCTGAGCCTGCCTGGGTTCTGAACAAGCTTGGGGACAGGGACAGGGATGGGGACAGGGACGGGGACAGTTTTCTCTATGAGCTGCCAGGCTCAGCCCCACCATGGTCCAGAGCCAGCTCATGCCGTGCTCTCAGGGCACTGGGATCACTGGCTCCCTGCCCGGGCTGCTCCTGGGGTTGAGGGATGGTGGCCCCATGTGCACGACGAGTGACCCCCTTGGGGACGCAGGGGTGAAGGGGAGACAGCGTGGGTGCCACAGATGAGAACTTCTCACCTCTCCATCTCTGGTCTCCACAGTTTTGACCACGATGTTCCTCTTCAGATGGCCTTCTGACACGGATTTAGTGTCCAGGCTGGTCTCTAGGGGACATGGGCAGGACACGGCAGTGACCTGGTGCCCGGGGTATGGCTCCTCCAGCCACGCTCAAGTGGAGGGGCCCAAAGGGAACAGGTTGGGCTGGAAAACCCTGAACCACGGGAGACAGTGGCCCTGGAGACATGACCAGCCTCAGGGACACTGTTGGCCTCAGGGATACGGTTGGCCTTGGGGATGCATTTGGGGACATGGTTGGCCTTTGGATGTGGTTGGGGACATGGTTGGCCTTGGGGATGCAGTTGGGGACATGGTTGGCCTTGGGGATGCGGTTGGCACTGGGGATGTGGCTGGCTTTGGGAAGTGGTTAGCCCTGGGGACACAGTTGGCACTGTGGACATGATTGGCCTTGGGGCTGTGGTTGGCCATGGGGACGTGGGTGGCTTTGGGATGTGACTGGGCTTGGGGACAGGGTTGTCCTTGGAGACACAGTTGGCACTGGGGACACACTTGGCCTCAGGGATGTCATTGGCCTTGGGGATGCGGTTGGCACTGGGGACACGGTGATGTGGTCGGTCAGTCTTGGGGACATCATTGGCCTTGGGGACACGCTCGCCTTGGGGGATGTGGCCATGGCACACTCCTCCCCCCGTCTGGGGAGAACCCAGGAGTCCTGGTCCCTTGAGATTTGGAGGAAAACCTCCCAGTCCTTCTGGATGGGGCAGGGACGGCCAAGACGGCGCCTCCTCCCACTGAGCCCCCAGAAGACACCTCTGCTTGTGCCACCATCCCAACCCCCCCCGCCACGCATGGCCACGGCCTCACCTCGGATCTGCAGGTTGGAGAAGCTCTGCACAGGGATGGTGATCCTGCAGGAGCAATGGGGGGTGTTGGGAAGAGCATTGGGGTCCTGCTGGCCCCCCACCCCCCAGGCCTGGGGCAGGAGGGCTGCAGGGTGGTCCCCAAGCAGGTCGGACACCCTAGCGGGACCACGAGGACTTGGGGATGGTTTGGGCCACGGCCAGGGAGGGGGAGAGGGCAGGATGGAGCCCCTGGTCTGCCGCCACCTGCTCTCCTCGCCCTCCAGCAGCTTGCGGTATGTGGCGATCTCGATGTCAAGGGCCAGCTTGACATTGAGCAGATCCTGGTACTCCTGCAGGTGCCGGGCCATCTCCTCCTTGAGGCTGCGGATGTCCTCCTCCAGCCGCACCACCGTGTCCTGGTAGCCGGCTGTCTCCAGGGCGTAGCGTTCCTCCAGCTCCCGCAGCTGCCTCTCCAGGGACTCATTCTGGGGGGCCAAGAGGGGAGGTGACACCCTCCACGGCCACCTTCTCCCAGGAGCTAGGGGCTCTCCATGGCGCCCATCCACCTCCCATCCTTGGGGACCAGCCATTCCCCCAGCATGGGCTGGTGGTCCCCACCGCCGTGCCAGGGAGCCCTGTGGTGGTGGCAGCTCCCTGAGGCCGTGTCCCCCTCCTTGCAGCCCACGGCCGTCACCTACCGAACCCCGCAGAGCCTCCAGGTCGCAGGTGAGGGCCTGGAGCTGGCGCCGGTACTCGTTGGCCTCCTGCTTGGCCGCGCGCAGGGCCTCCGCGTGCCGGGCGGCTGCGTCCGTCAGGTCTGCAAACTGGTGGAGGGAACACGTGCCATGGGATGGGACCAGGCGGCAGGGATGTGTCCCGGTGGCATGTGGTGTGGGGACGCGACCCAGCTGTGCTCCACGGGAGGGACATGGCCCCAGTAGCACGTGGCACGGAGAAACGTCCCCAGTACTGCAGGGTGGTGGGATGGTGCACGTGGGACATCCCCCCAGTGCCATGTGTCCCTGGGGACACGTCCCTGCTTCCGTGGCAGAAGGGGGACGATGCACATGGGACGTGCACTTGATGTGGCACTGGGGACACGTCCCTGTTCCCACAGCAGGAAGGGACACATGGGACGTCCCCAAAGGGGACATCCCGTGCTCTCTTGGTGGGACAGTGGAGATGGGACACATCCCTGACGGCCGGTGTTGCTGGGGACATGTCCTTGCTTTGTGGGTGGGAGGGATGGTGCTGTGGGATGTCACAGGGGACACGTCCCTGCTCCTGCGGGACGTGCACGTGGGCCGTGTCACTGTGAACACAGCTCCTTAGGGACCGTGCCTATGTGACTCACCACTGGGGACACATCCCTGCTCCCCACAGGGACCGAACCAGGACAGGGGCCATCAGCGGGGATGCCAAACCCCATGCACCCCCACCAAGCAGAGCCACCCAACCCCAGGGGGGGGTCAACCCCAGCCCTGAGAAGGTGACATCCCTGGAGGGACAGCCAGGGCACCCAGCCGCCGGGTGGCTGGCTCCCACCGCACCTTGGACTTGTACCACTCCTCGGTCTCCTGGACGTTGCTGGCGGCCATGGCCTCGTACTGGCTGCGGATGTCGCGCAGGGCGGCCGTCAGGTCCGGCTTGCTCGCGTCCACCTCGATGTGCACCCGCTGCCGCGCCAGCTGCTCCTGCAGCTCCCGCAGCTCCTGGGGGGCCAGCGCCGGGCAGCCCGGCCCCCCCGAGCCCCGGGACCCCCCGAGCCCCGGGACCCCCCCGAGCGGGGTTACCTCCTCGTGGACCTTGCGGAGGAAGGCGATCTCGTCCTGCAGGGTCCCCACCCGCCGCTCCAGGTCCAGGCGAGCCAAGGCAGCGGCGTCCACGTCCTGCCACCGCGGGGGACAGGAGGGACCATCCCCAGGGCTGGCCACCCGGGTCTGCTCCCTCCTGAGCTGCCTGGCCCTGCCCGCCCCTGCCCACTCCTGCCTCTTTCTGCCCATCTCTGCCCATCATAACGCATCCCAGTCCCTTGCTGCCTGCTCCTGTCCATCCCTGCCCATCCCTGCCCTGTCCTTGCCCATCTTTGTCCCATCCCTCTCCCTTCTGTCCCTGCCCATCCCTGCCCAAACCATACTCCATCCCTGCCCATCCCTGCCCATCCCTTCCCCATCCCTGCCCCATCCCTGTCCATCCCTGCCCAATCCATACTCCATCCCTGCCCATCCCTGCCCATCCCTGCCCCATCCCTTCTCCATCTCTGCCCCATCCCTGCCCATCCCTTCCCCGTCTCTACTCCATCCCTCCCAATCCCTCCCCATCCTTTCCCATCCCTGCCCATCCCTGCCCATCCCTGCCTCATCCCTGTGGAATGCTGAGCTGGGGGCTGAGCCCCTGGGGTGCAGGATGGGGGACGCAGGATCCGGCCCCTGCCCTCACCTGCCTGTAGGCAGCCAGGTTGCTCTCGGCCTCCAGCCGCAGGGTCACCTCGTCCTGCAGCCTGCGCCGGAGCAGAGGCACCGTTACTCGGTCGGCACCGTTACTCATTACTTTCAGCCCCACGGACGGACCCCCGGGTCGACGCCGCCCCATGCCACCAGCACCCGCACCCCGCATCGGTGTCTGTGCCCATCCCACACCCCTGCCACCATCCCACGCTGTTCCCAGGGGTCACCCTGGTCCCCGTTGTCACCCATGTCCCCATCACCCCCCTGGTGCTCATCAGTGCCTGGTCCCCAGGGCTACCCTGGTCCTGGTGGCCACCCTGGTCTCTGTCTCAGTGGCCACCTTGATCCCTGGGAACACCCTGGTCCCCATCCTGGGCCCAGGGGTCACCCTGGTCCTGCCACCACCATGGTCCCCATCACCGCCCTGGTCCCCAGGACAAGCCTGATCACCATCCTGGTGGCCATCCTGGTCCCTGCTGCCACTCTAGTCCTGGTGGCCACCCTGGTCCTGGTAGTCACCCTGACACCCACCCCAGCGGCCACTCTCAATCCTGTCCTGGTGGCTACCTTTGTCCCTGGAGCCATCCTGCTCCTGCTAGCCACCCTGGTCCCCACCACCACCCTGATCCTCATCATCACCCTGCTCCTGGTGGCCACCCTGGTCCCCAGGACTATCCCAAGCCGGGCAGTGCCTTACTTCTGCTGGAGGCTGCCGAGGTCCTCGGCGAGGTTGTCCCTCTCGATCTCCAGACGGGCCTTGGCGGTGGCCAACTGCTCCACGTGGCGCCGCAGGTCACGCAGCTCCTCCTGGTAGACGTCGGCCAGACGCGAAGGCTCCTGGTCCCGCGCCTGGTTCAGCTCCACCACCAGCACCTTGTTCTGCTGCTCCAGGAGCCGGACCTTCTCGATGTAACTGGCGAAGCGGTCGTTGAGCTCCATCATCTCCACCTTCTCGTTGGTGCGCGTCTCCCTGAACTCCGAGTTGAGCGCCGCAGCCAGCGAGAAGTCCATCTTGCCCAAGCCCAACCCCAGGCGTGCACCCACGCGGGGACTCGGTTGGGTGCTGCGGGGGGCCCGGAGCCGGGCTGGGGGGCTGGCAGGGAGCACCCGGTACACCGGGGTGGCAGGGCCGAAGCGGCGGCCGTAGGAGGACAGCC